TCATCCAGCTCTACACGTTGTTATCTCATCCTGAATTTAATTGGGAGATCTGCCCCAGTTTTCTTGTTCAAGGAGGCAGCATTTGTATGATGGGCTGAATGGCCTCCTTCCATGCAGCCTCACTCTGTGCTGTGCCGCTGTAAAGAGAGATATGATGCTGAAGCTTTTCACCCTGCGCTCATCAGGACAAATGCAAGAATGCCAAATTGCAAACAGTCACACCTCTTTCTGATGCTGGAAATAAGGATGCAGATTGGTTGACACCCATTCCCTTCTTTCTTTGATGATTGGTTGCTAAGTCTGCCTTTCTGGCTTTCATCATGACAACGCCTCAGCCAATCTGAATCAACATACTCTTTTCTCATCAGCATTCAAGTTTTGTCCTGACCATTTGATCACTAAAACAGAGGCCTTCAGAGTTCAGAATGGGTTTAATACCATAACAGTATGGAAGATATCTCACCAGAGAGTGGGGAGCCTGGGAAATTCTCTGGTTGAGGCCAAAACATTGAATGGTTTCCAGAAGGAGTTAGACATAGCTCTTAGGGCTAAAGGGTTTGAATTAAATTAGCTTTATTGTCACACGTACTCAAGTGAGTACAGTGGAAAGTGTACAAGTCGCGACTTATGGCGCCATCTTAGGTACAAGGGACCTAGATACAGATTCTTCAGTACAAGCTCTTAGGGAAAAAGAATTAGAGAAATAAAGAAATAAGAAGTCCCACATTACAGATCGCAGGAATACATTCGAAAAATAGTGAAATAAAAAGTTCAGAATAACAGCCCTTCCAACCTTTTCCATGCTGGGCCTTGAATCACCTTGAAGCCAGAAGTCCGTGTTGAGGTCACTCTGAGCTGAAAGACCGCAACGAGCCGCTGAGAGACCTCCAAGCCAGGTTGGCACACCACCACATCGGACCAAAAGACCACTACAGGCTGCCAAGGGACCGCCACAGCCATACTGAGAGGATGCCACGCCGGATCTGCTCTGAGGAGGGGAGTCTGAGTCTGCACTCAGGCTAGGGGTTCAAGGACATCCAAGGTTATGTGGGGGAAGTGGGAACAGGGGACTGAGTTGGATGATCAGCCAGGATCAGGCCTATTCCTGCACCTATTTCATATGTTGAAAAGATGTTTCCAGTTGGGGTGTGGGATTCGGGAACAAAACTATACAGCACAAGATTGCAGCTAATAAATCCAACTGAGAGTTCAGGAGAAACATCTTCACTGAGGGAGTAGTGAGAATGTGGATCTTGTTCCCCCTAAGAGTGGTTGAGGTGAAACTAAGACACACAGGGGAGTAAGGAGTAGCAGGATCTGCTTAAGGGATGAGCTGAAAGGATATAGATAAAGGATGAGCTGAAGAGGATAGATGACAGTCCAAATTAGTTGGGTTGAAAGGGCTATTTCTGTGAGCCACAGACTTCATATTTGCCTAAAGGATATTGTGTGAGGCCAGAGGCCAGGCACAGTTGTGATACCTCCAGGGGCGAATAGCTTGCTGAGGAATAATTGTTTAGGCAAGATAATAAATGTGGCTAGTATCAAAAACTACATGCAGCGATCTGGCAGAATTTTCAGGGAATCTCGCAGCGAAATAGTGGTAAATCTGCCTGAATGAATTTGCAAAATTAGGACTTCTGTGGGTGATTCAAATGATACCATATTGATGGCAGCCAAGCCCTGTCCAATACTCAGCTACACAGGCCAGAGCCAACGCTGAGTTAACACGTCTGAGCCATGGCTCCATGTGATGCCTCTTCTAGCCAAATTGCTCAGGATGCTCACTGCCTGGACTCTAACACAAAGATAGGCTACTTTTCAGGTGAGGGGGTGCTGGGGAAAAACAGAAGGATTTGTGCACTTGACGAATTTGAGGAACAAAAGGCATGACTGGGAGAGGCAAGGCTGAAGAGACTGGGACTCTTTTTTGAAGGAAAAGCGAAGACTAGATGAGGTGGGATGTGAGGAAAATGGAAGGATAAGTCCAAGACTGCGTAAGTATAAAATTGTGGCGAATGAATTGAATCAGGAATTGAGAAGAATGGTGAGAATATGGAGTGTGTTACCACCAGGGATTATTCCAATGAATGGTATGGATGCGTTTAAAAGGAAAATATACACCGACAGGAGGAAGAAGGAAAGGAACAGAAGGAGGGGCTCACAGAAAGAATTGGAGTCAGCTGGGAAGAGGCATGTAATACGCACACAAGTGGGTATGCCCCACTTGGGCCAAATGGCCTGTTTTGATGCTGTAAATTCAACACACTGAAGTGGGAGTCTTATTTCTCTGGGTGTCCCCTCTGTTTTCCCTAGAATTTAGAAGGTTATGGGGTGATCTGATTGAAGTCTTCAAGCTGTTGAGGGTCACAGTGGCTCAGTGGTTAGTACTGCTGCCTCACAGCACCAGGGACTCAGGTCCAATTCCAGTATCGGGTGACTGTCTGTGTGGAGTTACAAGTTCTCCCTGTGTCTGCATGAGTTTGCTCCAGCTTCCTTCCCTCGTCCAAAGATGTGCAGGTTATGTGGATTGGCTGTGGGATATGCAGGGTTACAGGGTGGTTTTGGGTGGGATGCTCTTTGGAGGGTCGATGTGAACTCGATGGGCTGAATGGCCTGCTTCCACAATGTTAGAATTTCTATATTGACAGGGTAGATAAACTATTTCCACTGGTTGGGTATTCTGGAACTAGGAGGTATAATCTGAGAATTAGGGCCAGACCGTTCAGGAGAGATGTTAGGAAGCAATTCTACACACAAAAGGTGGTAGATGTTTGGAACTCTCTCCCACAAACAGCAGTGGATGCTGATCAGGTGTTAGTTTTAAATCTGAGAGAGATAAATTTTTGTTAAGCAAAAGTATTAAGGGATATGAGCCAAAGGCACGTATATGGAGTTAAGCTACAGATCAGCAATGATCTCTTTGAATGGGGAAACAGGCTCAAGGGGCTGAATGGCCTACTCCTGTTCCTATGCTCCTATGATTGTGACTAAGACAGGAAACGAGGCAAAATTGTGACTTCAGTAGCTCAGGGTTGGAGGTCACAAATTGCTAATAGATGCAAAGGCAGGTTTGAGAGTAATGTGTTTTATTTGAGTGCAAAAGTGGATTCCCCTTGTGGGAGATTAAACAGTGCGGCCAAATGGTGCAGGTGATTCGAATCATGTTAATCTCTTCATAAAAGAAGTTAATTATCAGGGGCATTCTCTGTGACTGCAAGGCAGTCAAGTAGCAAATTACTGGTAGTTGACTCACCTCCAATTCCACTCGGTTCACAACCGCCTTGTCTGTTTTTGTCTTTGTGTTTTTCACGTTGCTGCTACCTAGAACGCCCGATCTTCATCAGACGGCCAATAAACCAGGTGGTGTTGGAGGACGACTCTGTCGAGTTCCGTTGCCAGGTTCAGGGGGACCCACAGCCCACGGTGCGCTGGAGAAAGGATGACACTGACGTTGCCAGGGGCAGGTTTGTTGATTCAACTGAGGGGAATCTCTCAGCGATTCTGGAATGATTGTTGCTGAGGGCTCACTGAGCTTCCTATTCCCTGAGGCTGCGATCAATCAGCATTTATGAACAGTCACAAAAATCACAGTGTCCCAAAAGCAAACCAAGAAATCTTCCCAAATCATCATCATGAAATCTAACAAAATCACTGTCTGTCCCGGGCATGCCTCGGACACTGTAGAAGAGGCTTGAATCTGTATCTAACCCCGTGCTGTCTCTGCCCTGGGAGTGTTTGATGGGGACAACGTAGAGATAGCTTTACTCTGTATCAAACTCCATGTTGTACCTGTCCTGGGAGTGCTTGAAGGGACAGTGTAAAGAGAGCTTTACTCTATATCTAACCCCATGCTGTCCCTATCCTGGGAGTGTTTGATAGGGACAGTGTGGAGAAAACTTTACTCTGTGTCTAATCCTACACTGTCCCTGTGATGGGAGTGTTTGATGGGGACAGTGTAGAGAGAGCTTTATTTTCAGTCTGAAAGGGTAGACAGAACTTTGCTTTCTGTTTGTATGTGTAGATGGAGCTTCATTCTGTACCTATATCTGTGCAGTCCTTGTCCTTGTCCTTGTCCTAAGATTGTTTAATATGTACCACGTAGAGGGAGCATTATCTTCAGTTTAAAAGAGTTGAGAGAGCTTTACTCTGTATCTAATCCAGTGCTGCCCCTGGGCTTATTTGCTTGATAATTCTGACATCCCAAATCTTGATAAGGAAAACATCCTTGAGAAAAAGAACATTTGAGATTGAAGGGAAAGATGATCCTTTGAATTTGAAAGAAATTTGTAACTTTGAAGGGAATGTCAGTTCTCACACACTGTTCGTTGTTTCTGCTGAAACAAGATGATAGATTGCAGATAATCCTGTAGCTCAGGAAAGGTAACAGGGCCATGTGCCAGTAACCAGCATGATGTACAACAAGTGAATGAAGAATGTAGCAAAATTTCTGATAATGTGGCACTGTTTAGATTCCAGGTGGATGCTGTCAGCTTTGGAATGGCAGACATCTGTGATGGTAAAAGTATGAGGGTCTCAAGTTCACTGAGGTTTAACATCCTGCGATTTTAATTGTAAGATTAACTCAGTGTAAGGTCTCTGTGTTAAAATTTGTGCTTTTGCAACACCTGCTTCTCTGCTTTAATGCTATTCATTTTGGGATTAGACTGTGGTTTTTTTCAATCTGTGCTTTTCAGCGCTAGTGCTAGAATTCAGTATACTATAGCCATTGTTCAATTTCTAAAACTGTATCTGATGGTTCATACACCACTGGACAGGGGTGTGAGCTGGCCAGCTATATGCTGTGTATGTATCACATCTGGATATGTCGATTCTGACCAAGGAGCACCGTCAACCTTTCAACAAAGCGACCAGGCGCAGGCATACAACGTGACGTTCCCGTTCTTTCCAAGCTGCATCATGGCAGTGAGTTGTTCCGTTGACATTTTATGACTCATAATTATCAAGGAACAGCTGAAGATACGGCAATGGATACATCAAACGCTGTGGGCCCCCACAACATTCCAGCAAAGGTGCTGAAGACTTGCGACCCATAGCCTGCGCACCCCTAGCCAAGCTGCTCCAATACAGTTACAACACTGGCAGCTACCAGATAATGTGGAAAATTGCCCAGGTATGTTCTGTACACAAAAAGCAGGACAAATCTAACTCAGTCACCCCATCCTGGATCATCAGTAAAGTGACTGACGGATGGAGTGAATTGGTAGAACTCACTCCACTGGTTGGAGTCATACCTGACACATAGGAAGTTGGTCGTGGTTGTTGGAGGTTGGTCACCTCAGCTCCGGAACATCCCTGCAGGAGTTCCTCAGGGTAGTGTCCTAGGCCCAACCATCTTCAGCTGCTTCATCAATGACCTTCCCCCCCATCATAAGGTCAGAAGTGGGGATGTTCGCCGATGATTGCACAATGTTCAGCACCATTCGTGACTCCGCAGATACTGAAGCAATCCGTGTTCACACGCAACAAGATCTGGACAATATCCAGACTTGGGCTGACAAGTGACAAGTAACATTTTCATGACACAAGTGTCAGGCTATGATCATTGCCAACAAGAGACAATCTAACCATTCGCCTTTGACAGTCAATGGCATTACTATCACTGAATTCCCTGCTAGATCAGAAACTGACCTGGACTAGCCATTTAGATACTGTGGCTCCAAGAGTAGGTTAGAGGCTGGGAATACCGTTGTAATTAACTCACCTCCTTACTCCCCAAAGCATGTCCACCATCTACAAGGCACAAGTCAGGACTGTGATGGAATACTCCTCACCTGCCTGGATGGGTGCAGCTCCAACAACACTCAAGAAGCTTGACACTCTCCAGGACAAAGCAGCCCCCGCTTGATTGGCACTGCATCCACAAACATCCACTTCCTCCACCACCGACGCTCAGTAGCAGCAGTATGCACTATCTACAAGATGCACTGTAGTAACTTACCAAGGCTCCTCAGATAACACCCATAACCTGTAATATTTGGAAGGACAAGGGCAGCAGATACATGGGAACACTACCTCCAGCAAGTTCCCCTCCAAACCACTCGCCATCCTAACTTGGAAATGTATCGTTGTTCCTTCACTGTCACTGGGTCGAATCCCTGGAACACCCCAGCAGCATTGTGGGTCAACCTGTAGCGGTTCAAGGAGACAGCTCACCACCACCTTCTCGTGGGCAGCTAGGAACAGGCAATAAATGCTGGCTCAGCCAGCGACACCCACATCCCATGAATGAATAAATAAAAACACAAGAGCTGCCGCTGAAACAGACAAGTACGAGAATTACTGAATGATTCCTTCTGAATGTGACATGGTGATTACCTTTGTCCGATGTGGAACTTATAGTGAAATACAAGAGAGCCTTGCTTTGGAGTACATTTCTTAGATTTAAGTTAGCGCACACAGCTGCCCTGTGGCAAATCAAATTCTCATTTTTCCACAAGTATTGAGCTGCATCTGGGCAGCAATTCATGTTTTTAAATTGAAGGCAAATGATTTTGTCCCAGATATCTGATAGTTTTTAAGCACTGGAATGCCAGTTAACTCATTGTTGACTTCACCAGAAGCTCAAAAAAGATTTCCTCTTACCCCAGCAGATTAGATAGCCTGAAGAGGAGAAAGGTTTAAAAAGACATATGGGGCAGTTTTTTTACCCAGAGCGTGGTTTGTGTGTGGAATGAACTTCCACGGGAAGTGGTGGATGTGGGTTCAACATTTAAAAGACATTTAGTAAAGTACATGAATAAGAAATGTTTGGAAGGATATGGTTCAAACATAGGCAGGTGGGACTAGTTTAGTTTGGCATTATGGTTAACATGGACTGGTTGGACTGAAAGGTCTGTTTCTGCGCTGTATGACTCTGACTCTATCTGAGGTCCCTTACCAATCAGGAATGTTTCAAGGCTGTGCCTCACCATCTTCCACAAGCTCCAGCCCCCAGGTTAATGCTAAGCTAAATATCGGAGTGCAGTAGCTGACCCTCAGTGCTCCAGAGTTAAATAAACCAGCCAAGATTCCCATTCATGATTGCTGTCTGTGCACACATGAGCATCATGTTAGATAAGCAACAGGATCAACTACCTCTGTGATAGAAGGTAGTAAGAACTGCAGATGCTGGAGTCGGAGACAACACAGTGTGGAGCTGGAGGAACACAGCAGGCCAGGCAGCATCAGAGAATTTGGGTCGGGATCCTTCATTAGTCCTGGTTGGTTAGCCCAAACTTTCTCTACCTGTGGGTGCAGGATTGAGTCTGTATCACAACCTGCCAACCCAAGAGACGTGTTTAACAAAGAATGATCACTAGACAATTGCCCAATTTTCCTGCCCTGCAATATAGAATCACTGAATGGTACTGAACAGGATGATCCCAGCCAGCCCCTGGTGCCTCTTTGCAATAGATATCCAATTAGTCCCATTCCTCTTGAGCTCTGCAATTAATTCCTCTTCAAGTATTTATCCAATTCCCTTTTGAAAGTTCCCATTGAATCTGATTCCACTACCCTTCAGGCACTGCATTCCAGACCATAAAAACTCAATGTTTAAAGAAACTGACTTTTCTCCATTCCCTTAATTCTGTGCCCTCTGGTTACCAGCTCTGCTGCCAAAGAAAACACCATGTCCTTACTTACACAGTCAGAACCCTTCACAGTTTTGGATACTTTTTTTTTCAATTTCTTCTTAAAATTCTCTGCAGTTTGAAGAGCTGTGGCACCTTCTTCACATTAAGTCCCTCAGTTAAGTACTCATTCCAGGAATGTCATTTCAAGGCCAACCCAGTCTATCCTGAAATATTCATGATCATTGGACAAATAAATGCTGTCCATTCCAGTCAAACCTCAGGTATATTCTATAATTGTTGAGTTAATGAGCTAGAAGCATCCTATTGATGTGGTGGGATTTTATTTTTTTAAGGACGAGGGCGTCATTGGCCAGCCCAGCATTTATTACCCATCCTGAATTGCCCAGAGGGCAGTTAAGAGCCAACCACATTGCTGTGGGTCTGGAGTCACATATTGGCTGGACCAGGTAAGGATGGCAGTTTCCTTCCCTAAAGGGCATCAGTGAAACAGATGGATTCATGGTCATCATTATACTCTTAATTCCAGATTTTGTTTCTTTTTATTGAATTCAAATTCCACCATCTGCTGTGGCAGGATTTGAACCTGGGTCTCTGGATTAACATTCCAGCAATAATACTACTAGGCCATCACTTCCCCTAGACTTGGGTTGGTTCAGCATTCCCTATATTTCTGAAACACAATATGTGAGGATCTGAAATTTTCTGAAGAAGCATCCCGACCTGAAACATCAGCTTTCCTGCTCCTCTGATGCTG